CAACTTACCATTCAAAAGTGCTGTTTTAACATCCATTTAGTGAATAAAAAGTTTGTAAATTAAAGCTAAAGCAATAAGAATTCTTATAGAAGAACTTCTAGTCATAAGATAACAGATGTCAAAATAATCAATATTTTCCTTTTCAATAAAACCCTTGTCTACAAGCCTTGTTTTATATTTGTCAATTGAATCATTTGGAAAATATTTTTCTTAAAAATTCATTTACACCCAACAGTCTTATCTCTTTGAGGAAAATCTACTAAAACTCAAGTTTTGTTTTTCCTTAAGGACTCAATTTTAATTTCAATTGCTTCTTTCTAAAACTTAACATCATGAGAAGAAGCAGCTTCATAAAGATTTAATAGTTCATCTTGCACTAAATAGGTATAAAAATTATCTCCAAAACTTCCTTCATTTCTTTGCCTTTTACTTCTCCTCAAAACCAAATCTTCATTTGAATTTTGTTCAACCTCAAAATTCTCAACAGGTTTAGAAACACGCTCAATTTTCAAGAAAAAAATATGTTTAAAAAATTCAGCATGCTTAGTCTTAACAATTGTGTTTTGGTCTAAAAGATCACTTTTCAAAACTAAGAAACGATAAGCTACACTTTGTTTAGCATATCTAATAAGCATGCAATCAAAAGTTTTAGAACTAATTTTTTTCTTTTTTTAGGATCAGGAAATAAAACTTTTGCAAAACACCCTCACACTTTCAAATATTTTAAATTTGAGGTAAATCCTTTCCACAATTCATAAGGTGTTTTCTTTGTTTTCTTATGAGGTATCCTATTTTGAAAAAACACGCAGGTAAAATAACTTCATCCTATAAGTTATCAAGCACAGAAAAACTCACAAGCAAAGCATTCATCATTTCTTTTAATATTTTATTTTTTCTTTTTGCAACACCATTAGACTCGGGAGAATAAAGAGATTTTTTCTCATGAATAATACCTTATTTTTTAAAAAATCATTTAATAAAATGTATTCTCTACCTCTATTAGATCTAACTCTTTTGATCTCTTTGTTTAATTGATTCTCAACTTCTGTTTTGTCTAAAAGAAATTTTTCAAAAGTCTCATCTTTATTTTTTAACAAGTGTACCTTAGTACATCTTGAAAAGTCATCAATAAAAGTGACTTAATGTTTTTTACTACCTCTTGTCATGGTTTGTTTCAAATCATCTAAATCAATGTGAATTAAAGACAATAATTTAGATTTTCTTTGACTATAAAAATAAGGTTTTTTTTATTACTTTGTTTAGTTTCTACACACATTTTTCAAAATCATTGTTTTTAAATTCAAAAAGAAGACCAAGTTGTTGCATCCTATTTATATAACCTTTACTAATGTAACCTAGTCTAGCATGCCACAAATCAAAGGAATCAATCATATAGACAAGCATATACTTAGACGATGCAATATTATTCATTTCATCAACATCCAAAACAAATAGTCCTTAATTGCAATACGCTTTCCCCACAAATACATTAGATTAAAATGACACTTTAACCGAAGCTTTTCCTAACAAAGCAACTAAAACTAAGTTTGCTCTAACTTCAAGCATATGCAGAACATCATTCAGAGCCAAAGTCTTTCTTGATATGAGCTTTAAGATCACTTTTGCTTTTTCTTGAACTTTGATAGTTTAGGAATTAGCAAGGTAAACACGGTCTTCTCCTTCTTTTATAGGATCATAGGAGGTAAACATCTCCCACTTAGCACATATATGCCTGGTAGTCCTAAAGTTTACTACTCATTTCTTCACATCAAAAATTAAGAGAGCTTGAGACACCACTGCAGCAATAATGTCATCATCACTATCATCATCTCATTGTACCAAATTTACATTTGGCTTTCGAGGTTTATCACGATTTACTCTCTTCCTACACTGTGTTGCATAGTGTCCTGGTTTACCATAGACAAAATAGTCTCCTTTTTTCTTGAAAGAGGGGTTAAAAGCATTGGGTTTGTAATCAGATTTTCTATTCTTTCTATTATCTTCAGTTTTAAGGTCATACCTCTTGTTGTGAGGCTTTGTCTCTACTAGATTGGCTTTGGATGTTATTTCTCTGGCTCGAGCTGCACACACTACCTTACGATCAGTGTCTTTAATTATGATGTAACTGATCAGGTCAATCAAGGATGGCTGCTTTTGTTTTTGTTTTAGCTATTATTTATAATCATTTCACAATTCTGGCAACTTCTCAATAAGGATTCTAGCAACAAATTTATCTAGGAGGTTGATGTTTTTTGCATGAAGCTCCTTTAACAACTTGTGATACTCATTAATCTGCTCCTTCACATCTTTGTTCTCGGTCATCTCCCATTTGTATTAGTTTTCCATAGCAAACTTTTGTTTGCCAGCATTCTCATTAGTATACTTTGTCACCATGAACTTCTATATCTTACAAGCTTCCTTATAGATGTAATAGACATCAAACAAATCATTAGATAAAGTACTAATGACAGTGTGTCAACATACCTTGTTTGCATGAGTCAATGCAACTCTTTGGACTTGGTCAACATCAATAGTGGGTTAGGGTTGAGCAAGAGCAATAGCTACACCATGCATATCAAGAATGGTAAAGACTCATTCCTGCCAGTGTTTGGAATTCTTGTCGTCAAAGATTTTTATCTTTGAAATATTTAGGAATGGCCTCCGAAGGGGGACAATAACAGCAGTTAGGATAAACTGATTTTCACTAGAACCATCAGGCACATCCTTAGGGACGACATTATTAGCATTGGACACTATTAGTTCTTAAGATTGTTGGCAGCAGGTAGGAAAACAAAAGCTGCTTGAGTTGTGTCAAAAGACACTATCCTTAAGAACTATTCTGAAATACTAGTATAGTGGACCGCCAGTTCCTCAGGATCAAACAAGCAGGTCTTGCAAGGGAGCAAGGGCACAAAATAGCAAACACTGGAAATGTAACCTAGACAAAGCAGAACACGGTAGAAGTTGAAGGAGGAAAAGGAGAGAAGAGCCTCGAAAACTCAAGAGGCAAGCACACTCGTTTTGTCCGTGTGCATGCCTATATATAGGCCAAGGTCTTGGACATGAATGTTGGGCATTCAACCACCAGAATAATGGACTATTAAGCCTCAATTACACACTCATAAACTAGCATAAAACCTCAATTACGCACACATAATTTCCATTAAGCACTGAGTCATTGGGGGGATAATAGAGTAATGAAGCTTGATTAAAAAATCTGTTTAAGAATTTGCTTAAAGGCTAAAAATGGTTGAGGTTTAAATTTATATTTGAATTAGTCAAAAAATAAGGTTTTATGGTAAGCTCATTTAAATAAATAATTATTTATTTATTTTTTTCAAAAATAATCTGGTAAAAGGAATTCAATACCTCTTGAACTCTCACGCAAGGGGGCGAATTGATTGTTTTCAATTATGATTGCCTTGAGTTGGCCTGTTTTTTGTACATGAATCCACTTCTCCTCCAAGCCCATTTTACTAGCCTATTTCATTTCTTAGTATTTATACACTAGGAGCTCTCTTCATTTAGGTAATGTGGGACTTCTTCTTTTGACACACGATCTCTACAACAATTTTGTATATAATGCTTTCTTGAAAAAATAAATAATAAATATAAAAAGAATAAATCATTCAAATTAAAAGCTTCACAGGCGTGAAGACGTGGAAGGGACAATTTAAGAAAAGTCATGTTCTTTTGGCACTTTTTTTTGGGGGTTCATTTGTAGTTCTTTTAAATGCCTCCAGTGACACTCATTTTCATAAAATGCCACGTATACGTTTGCCAAGGGCCATTCTCCTGACGGCTATGAAACCTCAGGTGATGCCACAGAGAAACTAGAACAGTACCATTATAAAAATGTATACTTTTGTTGGCTTCTTAATTAACTTAATTTAGATTTTGAGGTCATCATGATTTTTTTTATAATAAAAAAGGCAATTAATAAAATTAAGATATACCATCCCCTTCAGTTTCACTACACTATTAATTTCATGTCCGTGTCAATATTATTTACTCCTTAATTCACAATTTCATCACATTTATTTTGACAAACATGATAAAACCGGAGTGAAATTTTAGAGACCATATGCTTTTTCCCAACAATAAAATATTAAATAATTATTATAAAATTAAAAATACTGAAGTATGCAATCTTTTTATAAAATTATGAAATCATTTTATAAAAAAATATCTAATTAAAAAAGATTCTATATTATCAAGCAGGTGAGCCCCTTAAACATTATTCAGGAGTTTAATTCTTAAAAATGTGTATGAAAAAGTATTGCTTGAAAGAGAACAATTCTTTAATAATAATTACATTTTTTAAGGGACTAATGTCATGATTATTGGCTATGGAAATATCTTGGGGGAAAAAAGCTGCTACATTAATTAATAATTAGTGTTGTTACATTACTTTTACAATTTTACTTTCATACTAATAACCAGTAATTATAAATGAGCTAAGAAAGAGATAACATTTCATCGGTACAATTCCACCTTTTTAATGAGCCTGTGACGTGTTAGGTAAAGTTGGCCTTCTTTTTTCCACGTGAACCTAACAACACAATTTTGGTCTTTAAGCCGGTGACATGTTACCATACAAGAGTGCTCGAGAGTGCTCAGAAGATAAGCACTCCCATGTGGTGGCTTACAAGAGCACTCTTGTAAAGAGTGTTGTTGTATTGTACAAGAGCGCTCCTGTATTGTGCCACACAGGAGTCCACTTCTTCTGAACACTCCCATATCATATAGTTTTGGAAGTGCTCTCCTAATGAGCTCTCTTATATGTTTTTAGTTTTTTTTATTATATTTTTATGTATCATGTGTAGCTCATTACAAATGACAGCTATTCTATAACAATATAAAAAAATTAAATCAGCAACAATGTAGTTATAAACAATTAAAGAACTTGAAATTAAGACAAACTAAGATCAAATTTCTAGCTTGTGTAATCCCTAGCTATTCTAGCTAATTAACTAATAAAACTTCCACTATTTTTCAAACATTAGATGTTACTTATCACAAACAACTAATTATATATTCTGACCACTCCTCAATCACATCTTCTATTTGCTCCATGGTTAAATGCGAAGATCTTGCTCTAGCAAAATACTACAAGAAAAATCAACATATAGTTAATTATCTTTGTTATATGTAAGACATGAATGTAATTTTGAAACATTTGCACTTAGTAGAATGATCAACTCTTATTGTGCGAATACTTCATTCATACACTTCAACACATAATAACCACATCCTAGGTTTTTATTTGTGTAGGTACCTATAAAAAAATAAATTAAGATGTAATTATCCAAACATGTTAGAAACAAAATAGAGCTAATCAGATCAAGATATGATCTACAGATCAAATTTGGAGAAAATCCGACAGAGCTGCCCCTATAACTTGGACGTTCTCGAATTTTTCAAAAATTCTACACCAATCCAAAATAACATATTCAGAATAACAAACATAAAATATTAATCGAACAATCATTTATATACATACCAAACATGTTTTATTAAATAAATAATACAAACCCTTATTTTGTTTCATGTATAATGCCCATCATGATCACTCTTTTGTGTATTTGGAGGGAGACTTTCACCACCTTGGTAACATGCTATGGCCCTACCAGAATTAAGCATATTAATTGAAATTATGACTAATTATTATAATAAACAAGTATAAAGAATACATAACCAAACTCTTACTGATATAAACGAGCACCCAATGTTGCCTAAAACATAAAATATTATATTAAATCAAATATCAATCAAATTTAAAGGAACATAGAAAACAAATCACCTTGGATTGTGAGGAGCTAAAAATAACATATTCTTCTTTCCTTTGGCCTTGAATGCATCAGCAATTTTTTAAAAATGGTGATCAATGTTATATGTACTTGTGTTATGTAGGCTAATGAATGAAATTTTCTCATCAATGAGCCTAGCACAACTATTGTATAATACAAAAACCTACAATGAAAGAATATAAAAGATCATTATAAATAATAAGTAAATATCACAAGTAACAAAGCTTAGAAAGTACCTGACATATAAAGTAATTACTGTAATTTGTAGCCAATCCTTCAAAATATCATTAATATTTTTTGCTCCTAATCTTTCGACAACTGTCTCACCATAAATCCCTTCATCCATTTCTATTTCATGAATGACATTATTTTTAAATGTTGTGCACATAATCACTCTAAGTGCATTTTGATTAAGATATTTTAGTTGAGCAAATTCTGTATCAGTCTTTCTTGCCTTAGTTACAAAGGTAGATCCTTTTGATAATTTTCCTTTTGATTTAATTGGCTTCTATACTATCCCTTTAGCTTTTGAGGTTTGTAAAATGTAAAATTAATTAGTGAGGTTAAAATTAAACATGGATAAGATTTTAAATAGTAGACAATTTTTATATTGTAACTTAATAAGCTTTGTAGTCCAAGCAACATAAATGCCATTAGCATCAAAAACAGTGAATATATCCTCATCTGCTACTTGCACTAGTAGCTCAGCATCATTTTCTATTAGTATACTTATGGCCGCCTTTAAATGATCAACGGGCATTGGTCTACTATGGACAGTATTACTGTAATCATTATACACAAATCCTAGTGTCACAATGCGACAATGTGGTGATTCTAACCATAATTAACATTGTGACTTGCCCTGAAAAATACATAAACTAATGGTTTAAAAAATCTGAGATATAATTTATGAATATATAGATAAAAAATATATAGAGAAATGAAAACCTTAGGAAAATCTTCCTTAATATGGAATGAGCAACTATTTTTCTCGTTGGGCTGACTTGTGGCACATTTATTGATCTAATCATTTGCTCAAATTTCTTTTGCATTTGCTCTTGTAATTTTTTTTTTCATCCTTGCCTCCATTTTTGACATGCTTTCAGCCACCTTTGCCATTTTTTGGTAAAAGTTTCTGGCCAACGTCCAAAATAGGTGCCTTGAGAAACGTCAAATCTAATTTCCTTTAACGTGACCTGAGACCTTTGGGGCTCCCAATGCCTTGCCAAGGACATCCATATGGCCACTTACATTATCCTGTGATACTAATTGTGACAATGCTTCCTATTAAACAAATTATGAATTAGTTATTATCTATTGAAGTAAATGAAGTAAATACACTAAGACATATACACTCACACAATCCTCCCAAACTTTTTAAGTGTGCTCATCTAGTAATCTGCCTTCCTTATCATCTCGAGCTATTTTCCACATAAGAGCACAAGTAACTGTGGCATCCAATCCAACATATTCCTTCTATTCACAATGTCGAGGCCCAAAAATTAATAATGATAGCATCACAAATTTGCATTTCATACACAACTATGAAGAGAGGTTATAGATCAACAAAATCACTGGCCATATACTATGAGTACTACTTTGCATACCATGAGGGTTCATTCTATCAGTGACTAAAGTAAGGCACAAGTTTCTATCTTCATCCTCAAACTTGGGATACATAAGATCAAAATTTTTCCATTGAGAAAAATTTACAAGATGTCGTAGCTTGCCATTTTTAATTTTCTCATCAACATGTCATGTTAAGTGCTTGGCATCTTTTATAGTACTGTATAGGCATTTGAATCTTGGTATGATTGGAAAATACCATAATGCTTTCACTGAGCTACACCCATTTCTTTTGTACCATGACGCATCGCATTTTGGACACTTAACTAAAGTTGAATACACATTTCGAAAGAGAATACAATCATCTCACTTTTCATAACTTATCCCAATAGAATATAGCACCTTTTTAGCTTCATAAGTATTAGGTGGAAACTCATTGTACTCTGGCAACATCTCATATAAAAGTTCAAGCAAATTTGTGAAACTCTTATCACTCCATCCATTAGCCACTTTTAGGTTATACAATTTCAAAACAACTGACAATTATGTGAATTTTTTACAATTGAGGTACAATGATTTATTATCATCACTCTTCAATCTCTCAAACATCTCAGGATAGTCCTTAAGATCCTCTTTAACCATATCAATTATCTCATCAAGATGGTTAACATCATATATCCCACTATCACAATCAAATGATGTGTAGCTCACATTATCCCCCCAATCACTAGTGTAATTCCTTGTCTCTCCATGCATGATCTAACATGTGTAAGTTGGATCGATCCCATTACATACTAAATGATCTTTCAATTCTATTGGCTTTACTCATCTTCCATAGCAACATTTTAAACAAGGGCATATGACTCCACGAGGGTTTTGAACATGAAAAAATGCAAATTCAATGAACTCATCCCCCCATCCCAATATTCTCTAGACAATCGATTAGCTGACATCCATTTACAATCCATATCACTAATATAGTCATAAAAATTCAAAAAACAAAGATCAAATATTTAGAATTTTTTAAAAAATTCGGCAAAGTCTCCCCTAAAAGTGAAACATCCCAAATAATCAAATCTAATAATTCAATACATCAATTCATCATAAAAGAAATTTGTTGCATAATGTAACAAAAATCTATCAAACAATTCAACATATAGCACTCAACTAACATAAAGTAAATTTCAATATAAGCAAACCAAAATTTATTTACATAACAACTCAATCATATAACAATTATAATCAACTTCAGGTTCAATTTTAACTAACAAGAGAGCAATTTAATGTCTAAAAAAAAAACCAAAGTCATAGAGTATTATCATCAAACCTATTATTATTATTATTATTATTATTAGTAACATATATAAAATAACTTATTAAACTTACTATATAATTATATAATTTTTTAAAAAAATTTAAAACTAACCTCGTGACCTGTAGAATAGTAAATCCGGCGATGCAATTTGGAGTCGGGACAACGTTCAGGATTCTGGCAACGCAACTTTGCAGAAGATTCTGGCTCATAGAAGATTCTAGCAAGCAGTGATTCTGGTGCAACTGCAGCAACTGGAGAGAACGATTCTGATTGAATTTTGAACAAGGACGGATGACCTAACACGTTCTACTACTTGAAGAAGCTGTCGACAAGATGCACAGCAGTCAATAGCAATAGAAATGGTAGCGGCAGCAGCTATCGATGGCAAGGATTATGTAGGTGTGGTGATAGCGGGAAAAGGAGAATGTAGCTCCAAGGGTTTTGAAAAGAATGGTGTTGAATGCCTTGCGTGTGTGCTCGACACTATTATTAACTGAAGTTTTTTTCTTAAAAAAAATAAATAAATAAGCTTTTTGAAGCACTTATAGTATAAAAACTCCAAAAGGCACCTATAGGAGCGCTTATAGACAAAGCACTCTTATAGGTGGCCCTATTGGAGCGCTTTTTTTAAAAGCATTCCAACAAGTCATTATTTTAAAAATAACCTTTAGGAGCACTTTAATATAAAGCCTCCTATATTTAATTATTTTTTAAAATATTTTATATCAACCTATCAAAGTACTTTTTAATAAAGCGCTCTGATAGGGTAAAGACATAGGAGCGCTTTTCATTAAAGCACTCTTATAGGTCATTATTTTTTAATTTATTTTATAAAGCTATAGGAGCACTTTAATGAAAAGTGCTAGTATAGGTCATTAATTTTTTTATATATTTTGTAATTCTATAGGAGCCCTTTCTTAAGAAGGGCTTCTGTATATCATGTCCTTTGGAGCGCTTTATTAAAAAGCGCTCTCATATGTCCTACCTATGTATTTTGGAGTGCATTTTGGCATAAGCGCTTTGAAATAGGCACTCTTAAAAATATATTTTATAATAGTGCATCCATTTCATGAGTAGATATTTGACATATATTGGTTTAACGAGAGTTGATCAAAAATCAAGAATTAATAGTTAATTGATCCTTGATTAAATTCAAAATAGGAAGTCTTCTCATATTTATTGTGGAATGTCCTATCACATTAATTCCCTCTATTTTGAGTATAAGATATGGTTGAACTGGCTTTTTTGAATTGTATTTAAAATTTTTATTTAATTCCTATGATATAATATGTAATTGATTTTCTATAGTTATTTATATATCTTTGTCTATTATTAAAATTTTAATTCACCTGTTTTGTGTTTTAAAGACAAAAAAGTTGTAATGAAATAATTATAATTAATTTTGTTTCATATCACAGAATATATGAAATTAGAATAATATAATTTAAATTGTTACTGTCATCTTTTCAGATTTGGTAGATTAATTTTTTTTGTTTTCGATGTTATCATTCATAGAGAATTCATAGAGCGAGAGGGATGAAGGAAGAAGTGAAGTGACTTATTAAAAATAAAATAAGGGCACTTCTATAATTGCACAATATTAATGATTGATTATTTTATTTTAAAATAAATATATTTAATAGAGATAAAATTAAAAATTTATTAAAATTTTAGGCAAAATTAATGAAACTTGAAGATTTTTATAATTCCGATAAAAATGTTGAAAGTGAATGAACAAAGGCGCACGGAAGCCGAAATGAGACCAAAGAAATGAAATAAGACCAAAGAAATGGCCCTCCAATGAGACCAAAGAAATGAAAAGGCCAAAATCACGAGGGGGCAGTAAGCCAGTAATTCTCCCAAAATTAAAAGGCCATTGGGAATGGGGTACAGATTATGAGGAAGAGTAAAAAAGAACGGGGACTCGTGGAGGACAAAATGAGGATCAGAAAGAAGTCAGTGTGGATACGGAGATGGTGGAAACAAGAGGTAACGCTGACACGTAAGCCAAGTGGTCGCGGATTCCGTGGTCCCTGCCTGCCACGCGTCTCACTAACCGACGAACTCTAATTACGTTCCTCTGCCATCCTCATTCGCCACTCTTTGCTCTTGACAGGGTTTGCTAGTGAGTGATCCATACGTGGCTACTAGCAATTAGAGCTCGTTTGTTTGCTGGTTCAAATTATATTTGGCAGCAAGCGCATGAATTATTGACTCCTCGGCTGCCTCCCTCGATTTTTAATCAATCGTACTTTTTGTTGATAACATTATTGTTCCTTCTGCCCACTTCCAATCTTCTTCGTGAATCCAGACACTTTTGCTCTCCAAGCTAATTCTTCCATCATCAACTTCTTTATTCAAAGACCGTAGCACGCGTTTGATTGGCCATCTTTTTCATTTTTCTCATTGGTCGACTTCAATTTTATGGCAAAAATGATTGGTCACAAATCCATTTTACCATCTGTTTAAGCCTCATAACTCATTGTGCATTCACACCTAGAGAAGGCATTGTGTTCACACTCTACCTTCGTTTGTGCTTTTTTGCTACTCCCTTTGTTATGTTGGCCATCGCCACTGGGTTAATTTTCCAATTTTTTAACCGGTTCAGTAATTACTCTCTCTTGTATCAGTATCGTCTGCGCCTTCCAGATGCCTGTCAACTCTCACTCCTTTTGAAATTCAAATTTTAAATTTACTAAAATATTTATCCCTGGCAACACCATCTCATCTCCTCTCAATCCTTCAATGCCCAAGTAGCAAGCCATGATCGAGCTTTCTGATTTGCAAGTCCTCGTTCATGCTAATTCACTGAACAGTTTTTCTTCCAAAAAGAGGTATTCTCGATTGATCGGAATCTTGTATTCATTCTTTCTCTAATAATTCCTGCATACTGAAGGAAAACGGTAATGGCTATACTTCATTTCTTTTGCAGAAGTTTATATCAATATACTACGCAGGGTTGAAGACAATAATCGATCAAGGAAGGAGATGAATCTCAATCACTACCCAATGTGGCTCTCCTCCATTGCTGTGCTCTTCATCTCGAAATGGACAATGAAATTCTCTCCGTTGACGATCGGTTCCAGGCCGCTATTTGTCCGCTAATAATTTCTAGTCTGATTCTCGCCATGGCCGTGCGCTTCCAGTACCAGTTTCGCCCGCTGTTCAAGTCCAATTCGCTGCTTGTCTCTCATTCGTGTCCTGCAAGTGCACTTCGAATGCAATCTAACCAACAATGCTGCTGCATTTTACAAATGGTTTACTACGTTTTGTAGCTTTACCCCTGTTTCTAAGTAAATTTTTTTTTTATTTCTATCTCATTTTAATTGTATTTTTATATGTTTTACAGTTTACATAAAACAATTAAACGATATTACTTTGCATCTTTGAAATGTAATGGGTCCATTTATTCATTGTTTTGGAAAAAAAAAATAAGAACTGTCACGCCTCAAAATCAGAGGGTAACTGGCACAGGTGCTAGCTACAACGCGCATTCCCGTAAACTTTAAAATAAAAATTTATTTCATTTTAAAAATAAATAATCAGATTATATGGACATTATAATATTTTTAATACTAATTGTCATAACAAAGCTTTAACATTTTTATAAAAATCTCAGCAAAACCTCCTCTATAAATAGAATCTCCTGAAAATTCTACAACATAAAAATTTTCACAAAATAAAATATTAGTCAGGAGCTTAGTTCCTTCTAACCAGCAAATAGTATATAAAGTCAAAATAAAGTCCTAGCAACAATATATGTGAAGCAACTAATCATTCTTCTAAATTAAAATATATAAAACTTAAATATTTACATCAAAAAGTAACAGCACCAAACACAATTTCCACCCAATATAGCTATATTGCTCTTCAAAGGTCACCAATAGAATCAGTGTTAGATAACGAATCTGAGGCTAAAAATAAATTTTTTAATGAATAGCATTCCCAAAGATAAAATTTAAAATAATAAATTCAATCAATTTTGTAAATTAGTTGGAAGGATGATAATTTAATATAATGTATTCAATAACTTTTTGAATTTAAGTATAACCATCAAAATGAGATTAAACTGAAAACACTTCATATCATCATGGTAAAAGAAAAAAAATTTATACATATGCGGATTAAAATAACATACTAACAACTAAAACCATTAAAATTTCAAATATATAAATTTGTCAAAATTTAGAATTGTGAAGACTTAACAAAATAAATAATAGATATGGACACACAGTCCATAAGGATAAAATAACCAAACATGGCTTATGTCACGAAAACAAATGTGAAAACACAGTTCATGAGGATAAGTAACCAAATGCAGCTTCAATTACAAAATAAACGTGGACACACAGTCCACGAAGGTAAAATAACCAAATGCAGTTCAAAGCCACAAAAACCAAAGGCAGGTACGGTGCCCACAAATAACAAACATGAAGACAAAGCCCACAAAATACACTAGGTGATGGGCCCCATGGCACAGGTGACATAACATTAATGGCAACGAAGCCTGAGGATGGTAATCATGAGCATGGTGACATAGAAGGAGCCCAATACTTCCAATCCAACGTACCTAAAGACCCATTGCAACATATTGGAGGTCCAATGACAAGAGCCCGAACCAAAGCTATGAAGCAAGCCTTGTTCAGTCTTGTGCAAGAAGTTCAAGAGCTTGGAGAGCATTGGGGCACTCCCCTCAAGTCCAAAGGAGAGCATCTATATGTGTATAATGTATTTAAGATCCAAACTCATGAAGAGTCAAGCCCAAGAGATGCAGACCTTAGCCCAATGCAAGAAAGACTACAAGTTGAGCCTCTTGCATGCAAGGAGACATGAAACCCTAGTAAAGAAGTCAAGAGTGGCGTGATTTCAAATCCTTTATGATCCCTTGATTGTCTCCTAAATTATTTCCTATTTTAATGGTCCCTTGATTTGATTTTCTATTTTGAGTCTAGTCAAAGGTTAGAATTAATTATAATATTAATTTCTAAATTTTGTAATCCCATAATTTTAGGATCACATCTCCTAAATTATGTGGCTAAATATTTTATCATTATTTCTCCTTTTAGTATTAGGAAATTAGGGTTTTAATTTTAGGAAATATTTTCTATAAGCCTATATAAATTAGGCATGCTCCCTATTGTAAACAAGACAGAAGTTGAATGAAATTATTCATTTTAGAGTTTATAACTCTTGTGAGCCTTAGTGCTTTGTGGTGGTATCCCGTGTGAGAAACCGACGTGATCAAGAGCGTGATCAACTCTTGTAGTGTCTTCGAAGGTTGAGGTTCCTAGAGGCAGGTGCTCTAGAGGATCTTCTCCTTGATCATTATCCTATTATTTACTTCATACCTTTCTTTATTTCCGTCATAAATTTCGTCCCTTTCTTTTTTTGTTCTTGTGTTTTTGTTGTTTCAGGGTTCTGTCCCTAAACT